CAGACCGCCCCCCTGCTCTCCTCCTACCTCAACAGCAAGCAGCGGCACGGCCTGGCAGCCGTGGGCCACGTGGGCATGGTCTTGCTGCCCCTGCCCGCCTTCCAGCCGCTGCCCGCCAGACTGCGCCCTCTGGGCGGCCCAGGTGAGTGCCCGATGCCCATGCCAAGCCAGTGTGCCCCCACGGGGTGGCCAGACAGGGCATCACTGACACAGCCTTGGCGGACGTGGGCCTGCCTCCGAAGGGAACCCCTGACACGCAGAAGTGAGAGCAGGGAGGGTGGCGGCTCACCCTGTGTCACTGTGTGCCACCACTGTCCCAGCATTTCCCCCGCTGAGTGCCTTTAGTCTCCAGACAGCCAGCAGAATGGTGTGCCGGAGTCTCCATGTCACAGGCGAGGCAGTGACTTGTCCACAGTCACCAGCCAGCCGTCGTGAGCCGGCTGCAGGATGAGTTAGACACCCCTGACTTGAAAACCCTGGGATGGGCACGGATGGCCCAGGTGCGGCCGGACAGCAGCCGGGCCCACCTAGGACAGCGGGGTGGCGGGGGGAGGTCAGCACCTGGTTGGTGAGGGACGCTTGGGGAGGGGGTAGTGTGCCCCAGCCTGAGCAGTGTGGGGCCTTTCCCGGCGGCTCGTGGGGATCCTGAGGGAGACTTTGGATCCAGTCTCAAGGTCAAACTGCCCACGCCTTCCCTCAGCCAGATGAACGTGGGAACCAGATCTCCCAGGCTCGGCCCTCGCTCCGCCATCCCACTGCCGAGGGAAGCTGTCCGTGTTCTCCGTGTCTAGACCGCTGCGGCAGAGTGCAGCGTGGGGTCGTGCTGTCTGTGGCCTTGGCCTCTGCCTCAGGTGCCTCCTCTTCTGCAGGCCTGGAGCCCACCCACTCGAGCCTGCTGCTGGCCCTGCTGCTGCCCAAGGAACGGCTTCCAGACACCCCAGGGACCAGTCCCTCGTGGGGGAAGGTCCGCAAGATGGTCTCCTTCAGCGAGAAGGTGGAGATGAGACACTACGAGCCAGACAGCAAGAGGCCAGAAGTGGCCACGAGGGGCCTCCCTCCCCCAGGGGCCCCAGTGCAGCAGGACCAGGACAAGGGTGGCCTGGCTCCAAGGGGACTTGGTACGTGGCAGCAGCCCCCCAGAGGCCGGGGGAGGCTGTGGGTAGAGTCTGAAACCTGGCAGCACCCCGGGCGAGGGCAGTGGCCCCCAGAAGCAGGCTGGAGCCAGCCCCAGCATCCCCGTTCGGCAGCACCGGCTTTCCGCGGCATGGGCCATGGCCAGCACCTGCACAGGGCCTCCTGTCCCCACCAAGCCCTGCTGCAACACCTCCAGTCTCTGGTGACCATGAGCCGCCAGCTCCATGCCTCGTTGTGGCCTGGGGGCCGAGACCCACGCCCCCAGCCCTCTGCAGCATCTGCCCAGCTCCCTGTGCCCCCGGGGATGGTCGGCCTGCTCGGCCAGCCCCCCGTAGTACCAACCCCCCCAGCCACCTCAGTGGGCCCTATAGATGGAGCTGGTTCAGAGCGCTCCCCCCCTCGAGAGGCCTGACTTTCCTACACACCAGAACTGGCCTGCTGCCTTACCAGTGCTGCCCCCGAGGTCCCAGGGAGAGACGGATGGAGGGAGGGGACAGTCAGCCCGGCCTGTCCTCCCTGTTTGCGTTTCCTGTTCTGTAGTCTGTCTGGTGTGGACTTTTTGTTCAATAAAGATTTTGGCAAAGTTAGGATCATATTGGCTGGCTGGCCGGGAGACCCCTGGCCCAGGCCAGGTGTGGGCTGGGTGTCCAGCCTCGCCAGTGCTGGTCTGCTGTCTTCCGACTGTCACCGTGCCCAGGGGTGTGCTGATTATGGCGGTTTCTAGAAGCATTTTCCTGGTATTCTGAACTTGCGAAGTGGCAGGTTGGTGACATGTACCTGCACCGTGTTCTCTGTGTGTACCTGTTGGCATGTGTGTATCTGTGTGTGTGACTTACCACATGTCTGCGTGTAGGTTTCCGTTGAGGACAGTGGGAGATCGTGCTTACCACCTCTTAGCAGGCTTCCAGAGACCTGCCAGAGAAAGTCGAGGGCCTTGGTTGGGGGTGGGCATTAGGGTGGGGTTGGAGGCTGGTGTTGGGGTGGGACTGTGTCTTGCTTTGACCTGGAACTCGCTCCCAGCCCCCCTGTGATCATCCTCGGCGCGCGAGCACCTGGAGAGAGGAGCGAGGACAGCCTGCCCGCGAGTTGGCCTCACCGGCTAACCAACCCAGCACGGGGCAGCAGGGCCCGGCCTGGAGGACAGAACCGCCGCAGGGTCTCGCCCTCGAGCCTGAAGGGGTGTACTCGTCCGCCCTTGCTTGCAACCTACCCCGTACTTCCCTCGCCCTGGACCCTGCTAGCCTAGGGAAGGGGCGTGGTGGTTCCGCGGAGCCCTCGTCTACCCCTTAAGCTCCGCGGCTGCCCTACCCGCGGCCAACAGCAGAGGGGGCCCTCGGCTTTGGGATGGAGGTCGGGGCTGGCAGGACCGGAGATTGAGCAAGGGTGGGGCGTGGTGGGCAAACTTTGCCCGAGGGTTGGAGGCGGGGGCGGGAGTGAGATGCCAGTCTGGAGTAGGGTGGGGCGGGGTGGGCAATCTTTGCCCGAGGGTTGGAGGCGGGGGCGGGAGTGAGATGCCAGTCTGGAGTAGGGAGAGGGGGCGGGACAGGTGGACCGGGGAAGGGGGCGGGGTTCCTTCGGGAACTTTTCAGGCTCGGAACCACGTGCGAACGCCCCAACCTCCGAGCTCTAGGCAAATGATGCACATTATTATGCAAACTACAGCTCGATCCAGAGTCTGCTTCTTGGGTGCCTTTCCCACGCAGTCGGGGCAGGGGTGGGGAGACCGCTGCGCGCCCCCTGCTCTCAAGGCCCGGCTTCCTCCCGGGAAGACGCTGTCTCGGAGCACACAGGGCGAGCTCTGCGCCGGGCAGCTCTGCCCTCCAGGTGTGGGTGACGACGGGCTAACACCTCGCCGTGGGGAGGGCTCCAGGCGGTGGGCCTGCCGCGGGCGGGGGCTGGACAGCGGGACCCTAGCCCACCTCTTGGCCCTAATCTCTGTCTCTTCCCTCGTCTTCTGGCAGCCGCCGGGAGCGCCGAGGCGGCCTGACGTTGCTAGGGGGCGTGGCCAGAGGTTGCTAGCTGGAGGAAGCGTTGCTATGCAACGCCGGGCGGGGCTCGTGTTGCTAGGCCGGAGCAGGGGTCTCCCCAGCCCCAGAGGGCCACCCAGCTCCCCCGGTTTTCGTAGAAGGCGCCCGGCTGCCCAGCTCGCGACGCTGCTCTCCGCGACTTTCTGGGGGCCTCGGCGACCACCAGGCGGGACGCAGTCTCCGAGGGTCCTTGCGGTTCACACCCTCTGCCACTCCGTGATCGTCTGGGCTCCGGAGCAAAGAACCCTGGGTCTTTGTACACGTGTCTGTGCGCCTGCTTTTGCAGGGGTGGGGGTGGGCTTTCGCTTTTGGGTTTCCATAGCAACCGCTTTCGTGTCACCCCATTGCACCCAAAGGTTTGAGCAGTTGCTTGTGGAAATTTACATATATCTGCATGTCATTAACATAGAGGCGGGGCTGGAATTTGGGTAACTCCCTGGACAATTCCCTTCGCTTCTCTCATCCCGTCTGATGGCCACGTGGACTGCGCATGCGTGAGTGTTTTGCTTATCCGTGTTCCCAGATTTGGGGTGGGTGGGTGAGCTGTGCTTCCCGCCCCCGCATCCCCTTATTGAGCCATTGGCATGACTCTATCGGCATATCTCTGACGGAGACTCCCAGCCCCCAATGCCAGACCTTGTCGGAATCAGTTCTACCCTTTCCTGACTGTGGCTTTGGACAAGTTTAGTACCCTCTCTATGGCATAGGAGAGCCATTTTCCTTCTTGGCATGTAGGGATGGCAGTCCCTAAGTCACCAGGGTCCGTGAGGGTTAAATGGGGACGCCGCGTTCACATACTCTTCATGCGGGTCTGGTACACACACTCCGATAGCCCCCTCCCTCTCCAGAGCTCAGCTCCTCTCAGGGCCCAAAGCAAATCAACTTCCGTGGCAGCTCGACACCAGGAAGGACATGCAGCGGTCAGGGCAGACTGGACCCAGGCACATGATAAGGAATATTGGTTTGCCTGTTTGTCCTTTGAGGCTGGAGGCCAGGTTGGTGAAGCGTGGAACCCCCCTCCCAGCGACATGCACACACTTCGTCCTTGTCTCTCTTGGGCACTGCAACCTCGTTTCCAGAGACCTGCGTTCCTGTCCCAAAGGTGCTGGTGCCTGAGGCAGGTGCAGCTGCAGCAGGAGGCTGGGAGCAGGGGGCGGTGGCTGAGAAAGCACCCAAGACAGGGCTGAGCGGGCTCCACGGGAGGCTGAGGGCACTTGCATGAAGAACCACAGGTCTGTGCCCTCACCAGAGAGGACTGGGACCCCAGAGCTACTCCCTTGCCTTTCTTGGCCTCCGTTTCCCCGTTGTGGACAGTTGGGGTTCCTCTGCTTCAGCTTGGAGGTGGGGTGCTAAGAAGTCAACTGGGTGTGAAGACCCTCTCCCTCACGCTGATGTGCACGCGGGGCAGGGGGTTTCTTGTCCTTGGAGCTGTGCAGAGGCAGAGAGGGACCCTGTGCTGGCTGGGATGAGAAGGAGATCTCTTTGAAGTTCTTCTTTGGACCCTAACTGTCCCAGCAGCCTCCCCAAAAGCTGGTAAGTTTGGGGCCTGATAGGTGGCATAGTGGTTAAAGTGGCTGGATCCCACGTGGCCGACTGGCTACACAGTTCAAGTCCTGGACCTGTTGGCTTGAAAAATATGCCAGGGACTAGCAGTTAGCATAATGGCTATGTGGCTGAACTCCCATGTAGTCGACTGTGGTTTGAGTCCCAGACCTGGTGGCTTAAACTCATGCTGGGTGCTGGTGCGTGTGCGCGTGCCCAAGATCTCAAGAGGAGAATGGAGGAGAAGGGATTGCGGCGTGGCCATCCCCCCTGGGGGGTGATTTCTTGCTTTCTGTCTCTGTCTCTCTCTGTCTTTCTGGTGAGTGCATGCGCCCTATAGCAAAAACCTTCCACCACCACCCCCCCAAAAAAAGCCAGGCTTCCCCTTCTGGAGGTCGCTCTCTCTCACTCCGTGTGTGTGTGTGTGTGTGTGTGTGTGTCTTATGTGTGCACATGCCTTGTAGCACATTAAGAAAAGCTGAGAAGCCCTTCCTAGTCTGACCTCAGCCCCTCCTGTTCGGGCGGTAGCTCCTTCTCGCCCTCCTATGAAATGCCGGTGTCTATAACCTTAATAGACTTAGACTGAGCAAGGGTTGGGGGGGGGGCAGAGGAGGTGCTAGAGGGGGAGCCAGCCCCACCTTGCTTTGGGGGCTTAGTCCTCAGTCGGCTCAGATAACATCAACCCAGTAAAAGAGGCTGGCTCGTACTGGGGCGGAGGAAGGGTGTTGGTGACGGAGGCCGTGCTGGGCAGGCCATAGGAGCTGGGAGAGGTCGGACTGCCCGGCCGTGCCCGACGGTTGGCATTCTGACTGCTGTACACAGGTCAGCTGTGTGCTGGCGGGCAGTGGTGGACCAGCCCCTTCCTGGGAGCAACCTGTGTTCTGCAGGGGAGGGTTCCAGGGATAGGCCGAGCGCCTGGCCGGCCCGGCTGGCCTGCCTGTGTCCCACTCTGGGGGCCAATTAAGTTCCATCCCTAGCCGCGGCGATTAACAGTTAATAAGGCAGCAAACACCTGCAGCTGTGGAGGCGAATTAAGAGCAACAGTCGGCATAATACACAACCCGATAAGTGAGCAATTAACAGCCGGAGAGAGATTCATGGAAGCAATTACGTCCTCCTCGTCCTCCTCAGGGCTCTGTAAATCGCTGGGGGGGATTCGGTCCAGTCCCGCTCAGCCCCACCCCAGGCCACAGCCTCTGCTGGGGGGACACATCCCAGACAGCCTATGGAGCAGTTTACACACGGGACACACGGGTGTGCAAATGCACATGTAGGCACACACATGCAGATGCACTGAGAGGTGGCTCGCAAAGTGCGATGGTACCGGTACAGAGAGTCCCACCATCTCCTGCACGCACTCGACACACTTATGTACACACACACAGACACACACAGGGCCGTCCTGAAACCTGTTGGCCCAGCAGAGAATGCCCCTGTCACACAGAGATGCTTGCCTGGTTTACACAAAGCTAAAGCCGCGCAGACTGCAAGATGCACGGTGACACTCCTGCACGCAGTGAACACGCGCGGCTTTCTTGGCACGGGGTTGTGCCCATGGACTTGCCCCCTCCGGGGCTGGCCTTCCAGGAGACCGTCCGTAGTGGGGAAGGCCACAGCTGAGCATTGGACCCAGACACCCGGAGTGAGGGCGGGAAGGGACGTGGGAGGACAGGCCTGTGTGAACGCCTCTGCACGCGTGTCTGAGTGCATCGGACCAAAGAACGTGTGTCCTAGAGGTGCCGTGGCTGGCTGTGGCTCTCCTGTGTGTAAGCACGAGCTTGCGTGGCTGTGTGATGTATGTGTCACGACACATGGCTGTGTGCACCTGCTGTGTCTGGCGGGTCTGCGGTGCTGCTGTGGGGTGCCCACATCTGGATGACGGTGGGCGGTACCTCAGAGGGGCTCTCGTGGGTCCTTGCAGTGCTGGGGCGGGGAGCCGGTCTCCAGATGCCTCCTGGAGAGCCTGGGAGTGCTCATGAGGTGGAAGCCAGTGGCCACTCCAGGGGCCAGGCTCGAGGACAACAGGGACA